GCCTGAAGCTGATGTTGTATAATATTGTATGTCAACTATAAGTGAATATATATATAGTCATGGGACATGGAGTATAGTGTGGGAGTGGAGTCTATGATATTGGGGGGGAAGTGTGGCGGCGGATTGGGGGAGGGGGGTTGTCACCTCAAGGGGTAAAAAATATAACTATTGCACTGTGTTGTACAGCTGAAACTAATTCTAAAAAATGTGTGTTTCACAATAAAAAATAATAATTAAAAAAAAAAGTCATGTGAATGTCAAGGTCATGCTGGGTGACATCAGATCACAGAGGGCAGGGGCTCACCTGAACATGGCAATGAGCAGATTGACCAGCACAATGTTGGCAACCAGCAGAAAGATGACAAGGAGGAGCACCACCAGCCAGTTGGCATAACGTGAGACGCAGGAGCCCGCCTGGAGCCCTGATGGGCGCGCCCAGAAGCCCAGCTCCGATGAACAGTTGACATGCTCCATGAGGGCCACTGTGAAGGGAGACACTCAGAAATGGGGCCAGAAAGACATAGACCCAGAGGGACATGCGGGAGCAGAGACCCAAAGAAAGGGAGGCAGAATCCCAGAAAGTGAGGGGGACAGAGACCCCAAGAGACACAGGCAAGGTCAGAGGCCTAGAGACAGGGGACAGAGATACAGAGAAAGAAGAGGACAGAGTCCCATAGGGATGAAAGAGTGGGGGGCCTGCTCAGAGACCCAGAGAGACAGAGACTTGAGGAGAAGGGTATAGAGATCCAGAGATGGGGGACAGAGAGGAGGGACTCAGAGGGAGGGTGTTAGGCCCTCACCCCTCCTTACCGTCCATGTCCTCCTGAGGGATCTGCCCAAAGATCTGCAGGTAGGGCCGGTAGAAGACGCGGCGCAGGATTTTCGGGAGGTCCTGATCCTGGGGCCTAAGGAGCCCCTCCGTCGCCACCCCGTAGGCAACCAGCCACACGCCGAGGAAGAAGAGGAAGAAGAATACGTCCTTCATCTGCCGGACAGGAAGATGAGACCAAACCTGGCCCAGCCTTTCCCAGGTCTGACCCTGCCCCTTCCTCCAAAGCCCCACCTCCTTTCTTGACGGACCACCTGCGAGTCCTCCACGCCTCCCTGACCCCGCCCATTTCCTCCTCTGGTCCCATCCACTCCTGCCTCAGCCCCCTCACCATCTTGTTCACGATGACTATCTTGGGCCCCAGCTGTTTGTTGACCGTGAAGATGTGCAGCAGGCGCAGCGTGAAGACCATGAAGTCGAGGCAGAGGACAGTGCGGCCTAGTTCATATAGACCCGGGGTCAGCCTGGGGTGTGAGGAAACGTGACAGGGGTCACTCAAGGGTCACAGGGTGCAAAGGAAAACCCACATCTTCCCAACACCAGGCTTCAGATGAGGATGTGGCCTCCCCAGGGCCAGAACCTGGACCCTCCAATTCGCCCGAGGTGTACTCAGATTTCATAGTGCCAACTGGGCCCTGCAGGGCGCTGGTACCCATTAAATAATGGTTGTATGAACAATGGTCTTAGCAAAAGGTAGGGAGGTCCCTGTAACAATCATGTTGGAAAAACTGCTGGAATATTTGTCCAACCTATAAAAGGCAAAATATAGAGAGCTCTAGCAAACCAGTAATTAGAAGACAAATGACCTAACTGTAAAGAGGATAAAGGGGGTCAGCCGAGTGGC